GGCGACACATCTCGTAAGACTTTTTGTCTATTATTCTCATATTTTTTTAAAATTTTATATTTATACGAACGTAAGACTTTTTTGTCAATTATTCTCAAATTTTTTTTAGTTAAATTTATACGAACATTTCGCATTTTGTATATTTTAAATCGGAATCATAACACGTATATAGTGTATTTATAGATTTTTTTTCTCTCAAATCATCACTATATATCGTTTGTATATCATTTTTATTTTATTCTATTAGTTTAATTGCCATCGGTTTTAAGCAATAAATATATATAAATATAATATGAAGCTTCATTAATACTTAATATATTCCAAGAGCATTTCGTAGTCTATTGTATTTAACGACTTCAAATTTGTTAAATCAATGTTAATTTTTTTTTGTTTTCTTTTGGTGCTTATTGTACTTTTATTTTATTTTATTTTTTATTTTATTTTTTGGGTGTACAAGGAAAGGAAAAAATATACGCCATGTTTATGGACAATAATTTTAATTTTGCGAATACATCTATTTAAAGTTACCTGTAATGTTAAGAATCAGGCTAAACGATAAAATGTGATAGTATGGTTGAGTTCAAGTTTCCCCCTTAAAAAAAAGGCACAAATAAAATAAAAGCGATACATATTTAAACTATACAGTACTTAAGGAAAAGGATGAAACCTAGGAACATCAAGATTACCTCCTCGGTTATCCATTGAAACTGTTATCCACCAAAAAAAAAAAAGAAAAGAAGCCAGTCCCTAACGTGGGCCATTTAAAAGATAGTTCGCGCAGCGGATTGGTTGTTACAAACATCCAATCGGATGTGCGGAATACGTGGTCTTTCTGGGTTAATTTTTTTTTAAAAAGGCCAGTGTAGCTGTTAGTGTTAGTGAGTGTTTGTACGAATAAATGACGATAAGTGAGGGGGAATCAGGGATTGATCTCCCCCTGATTGGGTCGATTTGGTAATGGGGAGTATGATGTTGAAAGACCCGAAACTCCCTGATGAACCAAGTCAAAACATCACTGACGACCCCCTCGGGCGCTTACTTAAAAGCGTATTTTTTAATTATTCTGCCAAAGTTAATGTAACAAACTCAATCAGGATTCAAACTCAGGTCACTGATTTGTCTTTGCAACTTGCTAACAATTACACATCTGTTCCAACTAATTAAAAATTATAAACACTAAAACTAAGCATAAAAATTTCATATTTTTAACTGAGAAATAGTCAAGCTAATTGTCTCTTCTTTTGTTATTTTTAACTCACCTTTTAGATGAGTGTGATCCATGGAAAATCTTTAAAATTTGGAATAGTTGTTTAGTAATTGCAATTAACTATTGCCTTATAAGGACACATCTGACATTAATTGAGAAAGCAGCTTGTACATGGAGCTTTGGTTGAAATTTATAAAATCTTTGTCTAAAAAACATTTTTCAGAAAAATAAGTTTCTCAAATCGAACAGCTGTTATCACTCTTTGCAGTATTGATCGGGTGGGGGAGATTTGCTTCTTAACTTTTTATATTTAAGTAGTCCGGAATGTCAACATCATGATTATATCATTATTTTCTCAGAGCTACATATGCTATCCATTTTAGCTGTTGCTGCTGTTGAAAGTCTTCAAGCGATGTGGTTTCTGTTATCTGGTACAGTTCTTTTTTGCAATTCTCTAGTATCAGTCCATGAAATTTGAAGAAGAGTTTGTTTTCACCAAGATGCATAACTTTTACTTGCTCAAAGTTATTTTTAACTAATGATCTTGGAAAGCAACTGTATACATGTGACTGTTTAGATATTTCTGAATGGGTTTGGTGCTTAAATACATGACTCATGTTTTCAAGTTAATGATTTAGTTTTGTAGCAAGTAACAGTGTTGGACAAAACAATATCTAGTGTAGCCTGGTAGTATAATTTGAAATATGTGAAGAGTGCAGAAGACAAATAGATAATAACAGAATAATTGTTAATGTTCAGTTAGTAAGATTACTTAGCAGATTGATCTGTTTTTTATGTTTATCAACTACTTGCAGGTTATTTAAAGCCAGAAAATATTTTTAAAAAGTTTTTTGGAGATAATAATGTTTTAGTGATACAAGTCTTACTAATTAGCACTTAGCTGGGTGTAGAAGAGATGGATTCATACTTTTCCCAAAGGTATTTATATATAAGTAAATATAACTAACCTAAGAAGAATTGGAACTCGGCTCTCCGATTAACACTTCCAAGCCATTACCCATTGCACCATCCACAGATCCAAGCTTAGAGAACTTGGTATTCCCAAGTGGTCACCCATCTAAATAGTGAACAGTCTTCATGTTACTTAACTTTAATGATTGTACAGGAACCACTGTTTCAATGTGATATGGTGGTAAGCTTACTTATCTGAGTATCGGTCACTATGATATAAGACTTTAAAAGAAGCTGATCATGTGCAGAGAAAAAGTAGATTAAAGAAAGTCTATGAAATGAAGTAAAATGTAAGAGAAGGAAAAATAATGGTAACTAAACTGTTGCATGAAGGAATAAAGGATTAATAAGGTTACAAGAACATGACTGAAATATGTGCTGGAGTAATTCATCTTGTAAGGTCACCAGATCATCATAATGGCAGAGCACTTGCAACAGTATAAAGGAAGACACAGCAGATGTAATTTGCATAGAAAAAGATATACATGCTCAGTCAGAACTAGGTTTGAAATTTGAGAATACAAAAAATATCTGAACAAATCCAAGAAGTCGTCTTCTTTCTGTGCCGTCTCCCTTCTGGATGTAGGCGATCATGGCTCTCCACAACATTCTGTCCCTTGTAGCTCTTAACAAACTCTGTCTTTCTGTTATTTCTCCTTATCAATGTCCCACTATCCATTTAATTAAGCCCATAAAGTATGTTATGCATTGTTTTCTGCTGCCCCTTTTGCCCTCTATCTGTCCCATGTGTTTCAGATTTTCCAAGCCCTCTTTCCTCATTATATGCCCCAGAAGCTTCAACTGTCTCTTTCTGATGTTAAGTATTAGTTTCTTTTTTGTTTCCATTTTCTCCAAAACATTGTTGTTTCACATGTTACAGTATCCTCAGCATCTTTCTCTAGAACCATACTTCTGTTGCTTCTAGTTTATTCTTATTTGACTAGCACTTACTGCCATACAGGAGGACAGATATCACATAGCAGTTTAGTCCTCTTTTCCTGTTTCTAGCAAACTTTGCTATTTCTTAGTACTCTACTTAGCTTTTGGAAGGCTTTCTTGTCTATCCCAATATACTCTCAGACATCAGTGTCACTCTTTCTCTCCTCTGTTAAAACAATTCCCAGTTATTTAAATTTCTGGTTTCTCGGTTGATTTTGGTATCTCTGATTTGCACTTTGCTAACAATGATGCAATCCATCTTCTTGCAGTTGATGTTTAGTTCTTTCTTTTCACTTTCATTCACTACCTTCTGTAGAGTACAGCATCCAAAAATGCTGACAAGTAATAAAAAAAAACAATTAAAAACGAGGAAATTATTTTAAATAAACAAATATATAATTACAAATATTGTCTGGAAAAATAGGTTTTAAAGTGCAACCTATTTATTGATTATAATATTCTGATAGAGTAATCAAAACTTGTGAATATTTCTAAATCTTCATCTTGTTTTATATTTGTTCAGTGAAAAAAATGATTAATATTTCAACAAACTGCACTTTGTAATCTTTTATGACCATTAAGAATTCCAGACAAGAAAACTTGAGAAGCAATATTTGACCTTAAATTCCAAAATATTTTTTCAAAGACAAAAAGCCATGTTTAAAATAAAATTGTGTTATTATTCACACTGATTAAAATAAATTTTTTTATTTAAAATTTAATAATTACATAGAAAACCAGACATCCGTGTGAAAAGTAAATGGGTTATAGTTCTAATTACAGTCATGCTTAGTATGAAAGAAAATTTTTTTCTCTCTCATTTTTATTTGTCTTGGAAGATAAAATATTTAATGGAAAATTCTGGATTAAAACAGAATAAGAAGCTCAGAAACATAGACTTTCAATTAGTACAGAAATTTAAATATCTATTTTAACAGATGAAGGAAAACTGGCTACAATAATCCAAAAACATTGAAATTGTGAAAGATGCCTACCAAAATATTCTTAGAAACAAAGAAGAGACAGAGTGCTGAAATTCTATGTCATGTTAATCCTCCTATAAAGCAATGACTGCTGGAACAATTTTCTTAAAGATGAAGAAAAGGTTTGAGGCAACAGACATGATTCTACTGAAGGATGTTGAGAATACCCTGGGCTCATCCTTTGAGAGTCAATGAAATTTTAAGGAAAATGGGAATGAAAAAGACACTTGTACTTAGGATCAGAACAAATAAAGATGAATGAAGGCTTGGAGAATTTGACACTCTCAGGACATACTGAAGGCAAGAAGAACAGGGAATAATCTAACCAATAGACTTGAGAAAATGGATGGCAGAACAATGATTGATTTGTTTTCTATGGCCCAATAACCTCATGTAGGTTATATAAATCCAGAAAATACATTGTAAGAATTTTTTGGAAGATAATAATGGTTTAGTGATACAAGTCATACTTATTGTTGTGGTACGATCCACCTAATTTACATAGTGGAGTATCAACCATATAAATATGGTTGGTACCGGGAAGACGGGGGAGGAAGAAGAGATCCAATCCAGAGACTCTGCCCGATTGCAACTAAGTCAATCCATTCTACAGGAACGGTCTTCCCAAGAATATACCAAACTATCTGTAAATATTGTGTACACGTTCTTGTGTCAATACATTTTGTTTAAGTACATTTTGTGTTGTATTATTATTATTCCATGCTTTATTCAAGTTTCAACACTTATTAACCCATATCTTGGAGGAAAAGAGTAGGATTGATATCTTTCCCAAGGATAATTTCATGTAAGTGAAAATAACGAACCCAGTTGGAATTGAAGTATGGTTTTCTAGTTTCCAGTTCCAAGCTATTATTCATTGCATCACCCACACATCCAAGCTTACAACACCTGGAATTCCCAAATGGTCAGCCATCTAGATACTGACCAGGCTTGATGTTGCTTAACTTGGGTGATTATATGAGAACTGGTATTTAAATGTGATATGACCATATGCTGGCAGAACAGCAAGTGGTAGTGATATCAAAACATATATTGTCATGAAAAGCCAGTAACTTTCTTCCTTCTTCATGCAGTATTTTTCATAGATTTATCATTTAATTCTCTATCTTTACCACTTGTTGCACAATAGATTTAGATGTCATTATGTAAACACTTGTGGGGATTACCCCAACTTGTCTATCCTGACATCCTCTAGGTGTCATGCTATTCAGAACAATCTAAAGGCGGCACATAAACATTAACAACTCTCTTTTTAAGCTTTGCAATGTAGAGACAATAGAGCACACTTCCTCATCTCGAAGACTACCTTATCACCAGCAAACTGTCTACATAATTTAAAACAAATCATGTGGATATGATATGCACACTACATCTATGGGTGTAAATATGTTTTTCTTTCTTTCTATGAACTTTACCTATCCCGATGAATATAATTTTCTCTCTTCTTTTGTGAACTAAATTGTTATAAAAGATGTGTTGAAATTTGTTTCTTTTAGAAATGTTGAACTCATTTTACTTTGAAACACTTCAGCAGCAACCAGTCACAACTGTTTCAACTACAAACTCATGACCAACAGAAACCTGGTCCAATAAAAATTGTAACACTATAATTTGCTAATTTCTAACCATTTCAACATAAGTATCAGTATCAGTCATCTTATTGCATTTTGATCAAATTTATTATTTATTAATGCCAAAATAACATATTCTACAATGTTCATTTATTTGTGATGGAATTTTAGTTGAAAGAGAAAAGAATGCTTGGAAAATTTACTACTCTCAGGACAGATTGAAAGCAAGAGAGTCAAAGGAAATCAATGTGTAACCTACATAGCAAGTTTGAGTAAATGAATGGGAGAACAGAGTTTAGGAGAGATAATAAAAAACAAGATTTATTAAGAGCTATAATGGACAGGAAATTGTGGAGAGCCATGATTTCCAAAGCCATAAAGAGGCAACATACATATAAGAAAGGCAATATATACATACGGATCACAAATATTTATTCAATCAGTAATGCACCAAACTATTCATCTACACAATAGAAATAATTATGCAAATTTTGTGAACCTTCTTTAACTGCATTTAATGAGCATTTTTGAGTTTAAATATTTGCTGGCTGAGTGCATTGAAATTTATAACTCAGTGTATTTATGGTCAACAGTTTATTGAAAGAAACATTCCTGATTCATGAGAAGCGCCATGACAAATCCTAGGCAACTGCCACCGTCTATGATATTGAGTATCAGAGATGCAACAACAGATTGTTTTATTATCATGCAGTTATGCTTCCAAGATGTGGCCTCATCATTCTTAGGCTTGTTATCTTGCCTCGGCATTCCTACAGGATTGAAAAATGTGGAAATGGTCTTGAGAGGTCACGAAATGATTCAAATCTTAGAGAATTATCAGGAAGATCTGGAATTTCTGTTTGTGAGCAAGAATCTCTATCTTGCAATACCGAAAAATTTGTACAATAAACTGAAGATGCTGCTGAATATCTGGCTTGAAGTAACTTTATTATTATCGATAATATGCAATCCGATTGAAAATCCAATTCTAAGAGGCAAGCATCTTTTAGGAACTCATGTCAAACATGTGACATGGATAAAAGCCAGATTCTGAAAGTTTTACGGGGATGTGACATCGAAATCCAGGGTGCAAGGAATAAGATTTGGATTTAAATTCTGTTAGTTAAGCCCAAGTTTGACATTGCTATTATTGGCAAGGAACAAGATTAAGAAAAACCCAAGTCAAAGTATAGATTGTGTAAGGATGAAATTGTCTTGGAAATTCTTCAATGCTTCTAATGATGCAAAATACAATCAACTGTTGGTGAACTACACATTAAAAATAATTTTCTCAAGTGCCAAACAGTGATACCAACATGGAATATACACGGTTCGACTCATGAAATAGCAAATTATTTCAGCTTTTATGGAAGCACAACTCAGATAAGTTTTAACATTAAACAATGGAAAAATAATAATTTGATTTTAGGGAAACTTATTAGTATACGTTTGATGCAATAAAGTTTATATATCAGAAATTGTTTATACACTGTTAGATTCTATTATGTACGTCAATGTTTTCCCAAAAAATTGGTACCAACAAACTGGTGTTGTGAAAATTTTAAAGATATATTTACATTAAATATTCATATAAGTTTCTACTGGACATAAAGTGTGGGATTGGTTTTATATTGTTATTATGTAATAAACAAATCCACTTTAGAAAATCTACACAATGTCAGATTTTATTATGCAAGCCATTATTTTCACAATAGAATTGACAACCAACTGGTGCTGTGAAAATGTTCAAGATATATTTTCATTAAATATCAAAATAAGTTTCTATTGGATATAAAGTAAAAGATCAATTTTCTATTGTTATTAATAAACTGATCCACTCTATAATTACTACATTATGTCTGATTTTCTTATTCAGGTAACTGTATTTATAATAAAATTGGTATAAACCCATTTGAGTCCCCTGGGACATATGTATCCCACATATGTTTTCAACACATTCCGTGGGACATAACTGTCCCCAAAATGCATTGATATGGCATAAAGCAGACATAGTGTCACATTACTATATTTATAATAATACATTCAATAATAATATTTTTCTAAGTGAAAGTCATTTAGATATATCTACTGAAATGAACAATGATATTTTTTGCTGTATACATCAATTACATGAATGTGAACTTGAATAATAATGCTTTCTTTATCTCATGTTTTTTTTGCAATACAGTTCACTCTGCACAAGGCCTAGAGCCACTCACGGTAGAAGGTTACAGATTATCTGAGGAAGATAACTATTAACCCTGTACTTGATCAGGTTAAGTTTGTAGCAATCAGGGAAGCATCCTATAGGGAGCCAGTTCCACAAAAGAGCAGTTCATAGAAAGAAGCTGTGGAACTTATATCTCACCAATGGAATACAAAGGAAATTTACATGGTCCACTACAATATATGTGGCATGGCAGGTTTTAGCTGTCAAAGTTAGATCTGATGGAACTAAGGAATGTATTTCACCTGCACAATTTCCATGGAAAATCCGCTTTAACCCTTTTGAGTCCCCTGGGACATATGTGTCCCACAGATGTTTTCAACACGTCCTGTGGGACATAACTGTCCCAAAATTGCATTGACATGGTATAAAGCGGACATAGTGTCCCATTGCTATATTTATAATAATACATTCAATAATATTATTTTTCTAAGTCAAAGTCATTTAGATATGGCTAATAAAACAAACAATAATATTTTCGCTGTTTACATCAATTACGTGAATGTAGATTTTAAAGGGTTAAACAACTCATGTTGGGAAAATTTTCAGTATATATTTATTAAATAGCAATATCAGATTCTCAATGAACATAAAGTGAAGGATCGATTTTCTCTTGTTATTAAGTAATAAATTGATTCACTCTAGAAATACGACATTATATCAGAATATATCATGCAAATCAATGTTTTCACAATAAAATTGGTATTAACTGATATTGACAAATCATTCAGGATATTATATTCATATAAGCAATATGGTAAATATATAAGACAATTTGTAAAAGTCCTATTTTGACACATTTTAAATGAAATGTTTTAAAACATATGGAAGTCAGAAATAAAAGAAAAGAAAACAGACAGATGAAAATTACCAAATGATGAAATTCTGAAAAAAAAAGAAAAGTTAAATACTGAACAAGAAATAAGAACTGCTCATGATGAATTATTAACATAGTTGACAAGTCATTAAAAGAACCCATTTAATTTGAGGAAACATCCATTCTTGTGAGAACACATTTTAATTGGTTCTGGGAGTGTAAAAAGAAGTAACAATTCCAATATCAGGGAATTCATATGTCCAAAACCCATCCCTAACTTCAAGGATTTTCCAAAAACAAAGAAAGACATTAAAAAAAAAACACATGCCTGCCATGGAGTGAAATTGTTGATGTTATTTTTTTATCCACTGATGATTGATCACATTAATGAATGAAACGTTTGATGCTACATATCAGATATTTTTAGGAAAATGGCTGACATCACATGTGAAATGCAGCAAAAATGAGAAGAGAAATTATTTTGATTAGTGAGTTATACAAAGGCAAGCATTCCTATCATGTGCTCATTAGAAGAGAGGCCATCATAGTAGCCACAGTAGAGGCAAAAGGAAATTATTGTGCTACAATGAATTGATGTAGATTTGATAAGAATAAGGCTAATGGAAATGATTTTGATGAATATATTATTGTCTATAATCCTATCATTCAATTTTTAGGCTCATCAAATCAGGAACCCTCTAGTATATATATTTGGTTAAAGAACTTGTAAGAATTCAAATAACTAGCCAAATCCCCATCTTATAAACTTTTCTGTTCATAAAAATTTTTAAATATTTCTGCAGACTATGTTATTCTATCTATGGTACCTGGATTCTTGGTGATTGACCTACTCAGTTTCCATCATTCAATAATGTGTGCCTGAAAAATGACACATTTATTATGATTACCATGGATTCTTGGCCTTTTGGTTAAAAGCAAAGTGTAATATCTGTTTTTATCAGCTTAATTGGATTCTCTGACTCCACTTCTATTTTCCCTTCTTTCTTTCTTTCATTTTCTCACTGAAACCAAGTAGTGTCTTTTCCTCTCTTTCCACACAATCAAAACAGAATAATCCATTATTTGTAATGTGTTGTCATGGTGTAACAGTCAGGCAAACTAAAGGATGGAAGGAGAAAGGTAGGGATAAATACAATTATAACAGGTATTAGTTTAATATGGCACCAAAATTTAATGCTAATACAAATATTCAAAAAGTGATTGTATATCAGTATGATAGTTATAGCAGAAGTACAACACAATTATATTTACTTACATTATTCAGAGTGTTATCCTCATATTCATTGCCATATTCACAACATTTCAACCGTTGTACACTCCAGCCTTCTACAGGTGATTGGAATTTCAAACCAAAC